TAATAAATAGAGTCGCACACGGCGTGATGGCGTATTTCACGTATTTTCATCGCAGTCTCTTAGGGCACTGTAATATAGGACTGAAAGGGATGAGAGGCTAGAGAGGAAAAGAGAGAGGATCCGGGAGATAGAGCCGAGCAAGAGACGAGTCTCGGAGACTCTCGTAAGTAGTTTTATTAAGGGGTTCCTTTCGGAAAATCGTGGAGGACGGTTGAATATACATCTGTCGAGATATATGTGATATCGATTACCGTTTGGATTCCCGATATTACGTCGTCGGTCTATCTGCGCGCGCGTGTACTTCCTTCCCACATACAACTATCATCGACAGTTGTGCTCATCGCTATCTCTTTCAGTCTGCGTCCACAGGGTGTCTACCAAGTGCCATCCTTAATGTTTTTTTCACAGATTTCAATACAACGTTTATTTACTATTTTTATTCGATACTTGAAATTTTTCTCACATTAAAACAAATATTTTTTTTTTTTTTATTAAAATAAAAGAATTACTTTTTTCAATAAATATGTGTGTTATTTTTATATATATATATATTTTTTTTATATTTTATATTTTCCACGCAATATCAAAACACATGTGTTTTATTGTAAAATTATTCTACAAAAAGCGACTTCACAAATTAAAATCGCAAATCGAATAATTTATAGATAAAGACAATTTTAACGAAAGTTTCGGAACACCGTGTGCTTCAGTCTTCTGTTCTCCTCTTTCCACCTCATCCATCTTATTCTGTCTTTCTTCATTCCTCTTTCTCACTCTCGTCCGCGTGACTCTCCATCACGCTCGCAGACTCGTACATGGGGAAATAGTATGTACATAAGAACGGACTGGAGCCCGCAAAATAACTTTCAAGCACACACACCGTACGTACGTAATGGTGTATGCACACGACGCACTCAGAGAGAGAGAGAGAGAGAGAGAGAGAGAGAAAGAGAGAGTGCAACTTGAGTTTTAAATTCTTAAATAATAAAGAAAGACACATCGAGCATCAAGTTGAGCTCGAGTCATACATAGTCACAAATAATGTAAAACGGCAAAGCATTTGTAAAATCTCATACAGCATCATTACATTCGCATAATAATAATTCAAACATTTAAAGAAAACTAGAAAAATGAAATTTACGATGCCCACAAGTTGTTGATGTTTTTTTTAACTTGCAATGTGTGATTGAAATAGCACGCAATTGTTCGATGGGACAGCATTTCACGCAGCGAAATTATTTTAAATTCGGCAAATTTAATAATGCGATAGGCGTTTAATAAACCGAACGAATTACGTCGATAGACAAATGAATGAATGAATGAATGAATGAAAATTTGAGGGAATAAACTAGAACGACCTGTGAAAATTTGATTAAGCCAAGCGGCGCCGGAGCGTGACAGCTGAAGTCCGGTAAGAGTAATTCGGGGATAATGTGATCACAAATAGGAGCACCTACTACGAACTACGAGCGTAAAATAATTTCGGAGGAAAGCGCGTGACGTATGCATGTGCGCATACGGCGGAGTTGCGCACGGGGTGAGATATGTACTCTGACCCCTTAAATAACCAAAGAATGCGCGTCGTGTGTCACGTGTGCGACGTAGAATTTAAGCGAGCGTACACTCGACACTCGCGAAGAAGCCGTGTTATCTTAACTCGCAATTCAATTGTGCAAAGCAAAATGATTAACATTTATAAGAGAGAATATAAAGAAAGAGAAGCAATGAAGAGATAAATATATAAAAAAATCCGCGTGCTTAAATATTTAATTCCAAATTAATAAAATATTGATTTCTGTGTTTGCGCAAAACATTTAAACATCAATATCTCTGTTGATATATCAATATCGGTTGACTCTCTTATTGATTCTCGATGGTTTATTAATTTGGAATCGAATCCACGAAGCCATCGCCACATATTTTCTACACTTTTTTTTGATAATTTTCAATATTTATTTAATTGCGCAAGAAAAATTAGCACAAAAACAGAAAACTATTCAATTTTTGCGCTTTTATGCGGAATTATAGAAAACGGCTTCTTGATCAAATATTCTTGTATTTTTGAAAGCGTTTTAACTAAACTTTCGAGTTAATTAGCTCTTGGATAATTGACTCGCGAATAATTGATGACGGCACATCGTGTGTATTGCAGCTTCGTGAAAAGCTTTCGCAAAATTCCAAATTCCACACCACGTTATAAATGTTGCAAACGCGAATATCCGAAACGGGTAACGCCGGTACCCTCGGAAATAGCGTATGAACGTAGTGACGTCGGGTGCGGCGTATTTTTTTGACCCCTTAAATTGCCAGGAAGGTACGGACGGTCGTTTGTTAGCCGCCGCGTGTTATCGCCGCCTTGAATAATACAGTCGGTGTGTTGTACGAAAGTTATGCGCTTACACCCTTTAACCAAATTACGCTTTTGCGAGGGTTTGAACGTTTACCCGATAGAGATATAACCGGAGATAAACCGGTAGAATATACACGTGCAGTTACGTTGTCGTTTTTGACTCGCTAATAAATATTTCAATCATTCTGTTCTGGGCGCGAGCTGCTAATTTTTATCGCGATATCGCGCGATAGTACGAGCGCGTTGTTTTGCGCGAATAAACTTTTTTTTTTTGTTTTTGTTTTTGCTAAAAATTCACTGTACAGTTAAAAGAGCGAGAGTCGGTATTAAACGCTTTTTGTATTTTCAATTTTTCTGTTACTCACTCGCTGTAAAGCGCCACAAAAGCCGAAATTGCGTCGAAAAAAAAAAATAAAAAAACTGCTTGCGCAATATAAAAAACGTTTGCAACGAGTTGAACGCGTACCTTCGAGATATCGTTGACGTTAAAGAATCACTTGTTCGGTAGAAGAGATAAAAGCACAGTCCACCTTGTGCGCGCGGTGTAAAACAGGACAAGGTGCGAAATGGGCCACGGGAGAAAAATACCAGGGGAAAACCGTGCTACGCCAATGTCCGCGCGCAAGCCAGAGCAGCTTCGTCTTCGGTCGGTCGGTCGTTCGGTCGGTTGGTCTATCGGGTTTCGATAGTCGTAAAATCTTTCCCACATCCGTCTTTCCGGTCTCTATGTGCCCCGTCATTTACCTCGCCGTCTACGATTTTTGCCCTAACAGAAGTAAGACTTGCGCACTAGCGCAAATCTCGCGCGTTTTTACGCCTGTGCTTTCGCTTAGGTATACGTTTAAAATCAATGTTCAATGCGCATACGGCTTCCTACGTCTCGCACGAGCAGCTGTAATGTGTGCACACTTTTACGAGGGGATCTCACATATATATATATATATATATATATATGTACGTGTGTGCGTACGTTGAGAGATCTTAAGCGTATTTATACGGGGTGTACTGAGAAAAAGTGAAGTCGCGAGGAGTCGCGGAATCAAATCGGAATCAAAAAGTAACGCGTAAATTCACGTGTTCTAATCATATCAAAATAATCCGAACGCGACGTAACGGATATATTTTACAACCATCAGAGAGGATTGTGGGTAATACGGTAATATTTTTTTGCATAAAAGTTCCCGGCATTCGCGATTACGATTCCGCGCGATTTTAGTATCAGTTGTGGTATTAACAAGGATATTCAGTTGTTTTTTTTTATTTTATTTTTTTACATTTGTCGTTGAATACTGAGAACGTTTAACGAATTCGATATGTGCGGCGCTCCAGCCAGGTATGTATGCCAGGAGACAATACCGTAATGAGCGCCTGAATCGAATACTAATGTGTATGGCGGAGTGTACATGTAGAGAGATCAATAAATGTTCTCAGTGCATGTTGTTCGTTCTTTGCGTCAAACACAGATACACCGCAAATTGACGCGCTCCCATAAATCAGATTTACGATAAAACCGAATTCGTTACATTATTTACTAAAACTACGTACGATATTTTTATTTGAGTTCGAAAAACATCGTTGCTACTATTGTAGCACACATTGTTGTGCGAATAATAACTGTTAAATTTTCAACGTCTATAGATATAAATTTAACATCTCTGTGTGTTTTCTCGTTCGTTATTGCAAGAGAGACACTCGTCACAAAGTTCTATTTGTCTCGCACGTACCGCTGATTGCGCGTATATTTTTGACTCTCGCAAAATACATTCGAAACATATTTACGCGTAATTAAGAAAGTTAAAAAAAAATTAGCGTTGCGCGGATCTAATTTGGAGAGTCAATCGCTCTGGTCCGCCGTCAAATTGTCAAAAAGGATGTAGCTCGCAAAAGCGACGCGAACTCGCGTTATCGGTTAGATGACATTGATGCAAACTACATTAACTTTATTTATTGTAACAATAATTGCAAAATAATTCAGTGACGCAAGATTAAAAGAAAAAAAAAACTATTCGATCAAAGTTATTTCAAAATTTTTTCTAACCAAGTTTTTTTTTTATCTTTTGTTTTTAATTTTAATTCCGCGAATATGCGATTTTGCATTAAAGATTCCAAAATTGTTTATTTTTTCACCGATTATATTGATCAAACGTGTGTGTTATTACGCGAGTTGTTGTCGATTCGTCGCAAGATTGGTGAAATTTCGTTAACGAACCTCCTCCGTGTAGTTGACCAAACTTTCAATAGACGTGCTGGTGATACAAGCTACGCGCTCTGCGGAGGCGATGGCAACAACAAAGTTTAACGACATAGTTACACGTGACGCATGAGAGCAGTAATTCCTGCCACAACGACTGAGTTCAATACTACAATTTGTGAGAAAGATTTTCACTCGAAAACTTATATTAAAATATATTATCGAAACTTGTTAATAAAATCTATAAAATTTTATCTGCGCGTGCTCTTATACGAAAATAATTACAAATGTCAAATCTCACGATATATGTGGAAGATCGACGAGATAATGCTTTTTTATTTTTATTTATATATAAAACTTACTCTATTTTCTAAGATATATTTTATCTTTTTGTTATAACCAATCTTTGACCGTGAACGAAGTTAAATTTCTTAACCCTATAATTCTTCTTTATTTCAGAATCGATATTGTTGCTGCAACTGAACAAGAACACGGCTTCGTGTTTTTATGAAGAAACAAGCAATCGAGGTCATGATTAACACTTCGTCGGCTTCGAGCCTGTTGTCCACGGTTCGTTGTTACGTAAGATTACATTTAATTCATTCAATTATGAATGCGCTTCCATTTCTGCATGTGATTCTGCAAACAAATGTGCATAACTCATGTGCACAATTCGTACGGGGTGATTGAAAAAGTTTTTAAGTAAAGTAAGTTTTCCGGACATTTTTTTATTAAAGAAATAATTATAACAAAAGTATTTATACATGTAAAGTTGGGAACTAATTGTGTTCAAAAAAACCACATCTTAAAAAATACTTGAAGATTGTTACGTTTAATATTTACGTGTCTGGTAATTATTTTTAAAATAAATGTCCGTAGTAAATGGCAATATTTATCTTACATACAATGAAAACTTTCTTATTCTTTGGTTTTCTTAACAAAATTTATTATATAATTCGTCGACAAATACATATATAGCTGCGCGATTCACACGCGTGTTCTTTGTTCAGAGAAAAACTCGGTCACCCTGTATACGCTTGTGTATGCGGGGCCATTGTTACGTCGGGTTTTAAGTTCACGGCCTCTTGAGACGTTTCGTAGTTCCGTGGCTCTTTGTCACCTCTCTCCGTACCATTAAAAGACATTCCGCGGAACATCGCGGGAGTAAGATAACCCCCGTCGCATGAAAGAATTTTATTCTAACGATCCGCACAGCCAAACTTTTGTGCGCAAGGAGATTCGATTGAATCGAAAGACGGCTCATTCGAGAGAACTACCAAGTCGTTTAACGGCGCTAAATGGCGGAATCGTGCTGTATTATATTTCCATCCACTGATATTCGCGCCGAACCGGGAGACTCTCCGTATCAATCACAATAGACGCACCCTCCCCTATTTTATGCAATTCTCGGGACGTCGGGATGGGACCCTAAAACTTCTCGAGAAAGTCCTCGCGAGAGGGTGCATTTCCGCAAAACTTTCCGATCGCCGCAGGGTGCAGAAATCTTGCACCCTCGCCCCTCGCTCTATTTGCCAAAAAGGGGATTTACTCCCTTCCACTTCTCATTCCCTTTTTTTTTTTTTTTTTTTTTCGAGCGCAGTTTGGCTCTTCAGATACCTATCGCGTTTCTTTCTCCGGCCTTCGCCACCGTCGGGCTCCATCAACGCCTGTCGTTCAGCCCGCGGCGTCGCGTTGACGAAAACAAAAGTGATTAGATGAAGATAGAGCGGAGAACGAGAGGGCGTCCGTAGGGCGGCGAGAGAAAATTACCGAGAGATGTCGGAGCGTTTTGCCGGCTTTTCCAAAAAGAAGACGTACACTCAGTTATTCAACGATCTTTCTCTCTCTCTTTAATCTTCACATTTTTAATTTAATAATTTCGGAAATTGTTTTTTTTTTGTTCTAGAAAATTTCCGTTTTATTTTTTTTTTTTTTCTTATACAAGATGTTCGCGTCATTACTAGGCTGCGTTTTTCTTGCAAATGGTACGTATATTGAAAAAAATGAAAGAGAAAAAAGTTTAGCTGTTTTTTTGTATTGTACACTACCGTAGCTATCTATGCTTTGGTTTTTAATGTGCTTATCGATAGCTTCTCGCACGTACACGCTTAATGTCACTTTTCTTTCATCAATCTCGTCAATATGATTTTTCTCAAAAGACAAATGAGAAAGATTCAACAATTTCATCCTTTTATACACTTCAAAAAACTAACTCGAACTTAATTCAAGTTGGAAAGGGAACGAGTAGATCTCAGACATTTTCGATCTACTGCATTTGTCACGCGGCGCGATATTATTTCCAGCCGCGTCGCTCACAATTTCTCGATTTTTGTAAGATGTCAGATTATTTTTGATCGTCCTCGCGTTGCGTTATCGCAGCGAGCGTGAGAGCGCGCGACGTTAACTACGCGTGTAAGTAATTAAATACGACGAAGAGAGCCGCTCTGAGATTTTTTCTCCTTTCATCACCGCGCAATTTATTATCATTACTGTCATCGTTGCATATTATACGCGTGGTTTGTGTTGTAGGAACGTACATAAGACACTCTACTGTATATACGACACATTACAAAGTGGGGTTCAACTTTATCTCTTAAAAATTGCGACTCTCTGAGATTTCCACGAAAACTTTAATAATCATAAATATTGATAGGTATGTCGTACAATGCGTTTATATATATATATATAACTTTCTATAATCCCCACGCCTTCTTTCAATTACAAAGAGTTTTAGAAACGTAAATTGGCGAACTTTCTTGCCTCGCGCACAATAGATTCGAAGTCGCAGCAACAATGAATCTCGTATCGATGTGAGGTCCCTCTTCGGAATAATTTACGGGCGCTTCTTGCGAAAGCGGAAACCGTGGAAAAATACAGTCGCGAAAAACTTGCATCCGTCTCTCGATTGTTAAAGTCAGCCTGCGGGGCTGACGGACTCCCTCCCCCTTTAGTCCTACTCCTCCTGGTCCTGACCGGGTATTGTCCGGCGCTAACGAGAGAAAACTCACGTCGAAAGAATGTGCTTGCATTCGACGCTGCTTATATAAATATACTTTTTATCTTTCAAAAACTTCGACGGATTCTTTAGGTTATCGTTAGTCTTTTGGAAAGTTTTGATAATACAGAGAGATCTCCGATTTTTGCCTGACAACAAAAATACGCGAGTACAATATCGTAAACTTCAATTTGTAAGAGCGCGATATTTCGTCGTGAAAGACGTTGCAACATCCTTCGAACACGAATCGCGTTTCTTTTAATAATTCGAAATGCAATTTACTATCGTTTTAAATAGAATTAAAGGATCAAATTATTAATAATAAGGAAATTAAAAAATACCAATATAATATAATTTACACATGCACGAAATATCTTTAAATATTATATAACATATGTAAAATATGTCACGTATAAATTTCGCTTTTTGTTAACAATTTTATTTTTCGCGAATTTTATTTTTCACGAGCAAATTGATATAACCGGCGCTGCAGTTGATCGCTAAAGAGAGAAAGAGAAAGCGCGGACTTTCGAGCGTTTAGTTTGCGACGGGAACGCGTCTGTCGACCTCTCGCGCCAAGCGTCGACAATATTCATGGTAATCCAATTCAAATTAATTCTCAGTGGTAGGAGTCGCTCTTCTCATCCGCGTGCATCTGCCTTCTACCGAATGGCATCTCATAACCCGCCCGGAGGAGGTTTGTAACCGGAAGTGACGTGAAATATCGCGCTGCGACGTAATCGCGACCTTCCTTCTCTGCGTCTCTATCCCTCTCTTCTCCCCTCTTTCTCGTTCGCTCTTGCTTTCTCTTCGTTCCATCCGGCGTCGTCGATCCCCCAAACTGGCGGATCTCTCTTCGAGGTTTCTCTAATTGTTACCGCGAGCCTCCGCGAATGTTAATCACGTGGCCGGGTTGAGACAGTAATTCAGCATTACCGTGAGACATAACACCCATTCAGATCCGCGGGCAATACCGACTTGCCTGCCTGCCGGCTTATTGACTCGCGTTTATTAGGTCCGCGCCGTCGTTCGCGCAAGTAATCGCGGTGTAATTGGGAGAGTAATTTGATGGAGGAAATTCAGTATCTTCCGGCGAGAAGAGGGCGCAAATATTCCGAGCAACGTATATTCCAAGGGAACAGTGTGAAGATGATTTTTTACGATCTCTTATTGCTTTTGTACAATTACTCTATTAAAACAAAATGCGTATGAAAAAAATTAATTTTATTTAATTAGCATGTAAAAATTATATAAAATATTATTTCTGAAATATTTTACATAGGTTTACACACTTGTGCGCTGTCGTTTGTTTATTTTAATGGATTTTTGTAGGATAACGGAACCTATAGCATCTTTTCGATAATCGGCACTTATTGATCTTTTCTATTTGTTAACACTTTTTGTCTATAGTTACTTTTTATTTGATAGTGCAATAGGTGCAATAGGTTAATTTAGGTATTATTTTTAATTTAGGTATTATTTTTTTAGATTTAAGTGTTTTTTTTATGACAACATTAAAGTCCTTTAGTTTTTATTAGTTTTTATTTTTATTTTATTTTTAATAAATTATCTCGGGTACATCTAAACAGTGTTCTGTAGTCTTGCTTGTTAGGTCTACGACTCTGTTATTCTTGGTTTTATTTTTTCTTTTGTTAATATTGTCGTACTTGACTAATAAAAATATTATTATTATTAGTTGTGTGATAAAAAATTCTAAAAAAATAATTTGACAAATCTTTACAGTGCCGATCATTAAATATTTTACCCTAAATTGTTTGCACACAAATCGTGGTGTAAATTTTGTATTAAGATTCGGTATTTGTGTTTCGCACGGAACGATAGGTAGGTAGGTAGCAATTTGTTTAACGCTTTGAGCTCAAAGACGAGAAGGCACAGAGAGGCACGCGTCTTTCGCCGCCCACGTGCGGCAACGTGATAGCTAGCAATCAACGCGTCTCTCGCATACGCAACGAACAAAACATAAGTCGGCGTCAATAAACGGCGCTTTCCTCATTAGAATGCCAAACGTTCCGAGGCTTACTTCCGCCGCTTCCTAACTCGGCGCTTCCGCGTCTCTTTCCCTCGCGCTAACATACAAACGAGCGAAGCCGCGTGTACGATCGAAATTCCGCGCGCGTCTTCGTTTGTAGCAGCGGCCGACGCGGTTAACCAGAATGGGTGATTAGCAACACGGTGGTTAAATCGTTAACCGAGTAGTTAACCGGTCGACTCGGGATTATAGTTAACCGGTCGCGCTGGAACACACTTCATTCGTCTCTGCTCGGTTTGCGCGTATATTTCATATACGCTGCATAGAATAAAGCCACCAGATGGTAAAAGGAAATTTGTTACTTAAATTATGTCATATCTTGCTCCGTTTGTGCACATTGTTGATCAAAATTTTTGGAGAAAAAGCTATCAATCAGAAATGTTTATTATATAAAACTAAACTTTGTGCATAATGTACATTTAGTATTTTTATTATTTTTACTCATTCTTTTGTAAATTAAATGAAAAATAATAGACAATGTTTGTAAGTTCTAAAAGATATTTTAAAACTTTTACGAGATGGGGA